AAAAACAAGAAACAGAAATCTCGCGGGATTTTGTAAGTACCGTTCCAGGCCGAACCAAAAGGCGAGAAGGAAGTGCCGTTCCACCGAGCTGTGCGCAGGAGGATGGCGGGAACGCTGGCCACCCGGACCCTCTCCTCCTGCACTCCACAAACGCTCGCAGCAGTGCTCCTCTTAGGAGTGTTTGAGGTTTGGACCGGGCCTTCCCCTCTCCAGATTTCTGGTTAAATTTGGTCTCACTGAGCTGAGGCTCTTTAAACAAAGACTTGACGCAGAAGAGAGAAGGAAACGTTTGAGAAATGTTTCCAGAAAGAGCGATCCAGGCAGAGGAAACAGCAAGAAGAAAGCCCTGAGCAGAAGCACAGCTGGTATTCTGGAGCAGCGAGCGGCCAGCGTGGCCGCAGCAGAGGAGGTGGGGGGGCGGTGATGCGGGGAGACCTGGGCCTCTGGAACTTCACTGGGACCTTCGCTGTACTCTTATTTAGATGAGAAGCCACTGCGAAGTTTTGAGCAGAGCAAGGACTTGATTGGCCAGATTTTGACAGAGCCCTTCTGCTATTATGTTGAGCATGGACTGTGGGGCATCAGGGAGGGGGCAGGGAGCCCAGAGGAGGCTGCCACGGGAGTCCAGGTGGGAGGGGATGAGAGGAAAATGGGGCGGGGGGGGGGGGAGGAAGATATTCGGGGTATATTTTGAAGCTGGGACCAGTAGATGTTTGGCTGATGGCTTGGAGGTGGGTTATAAGAGAGAGAGTCACCATCGAGAGTGACCCCAAATGTTTTGACCTGAGAAACTTTGTCGTGGGTTCAGTAGTGCCCCCCCAAAGGCTGTGCCTGAGTTCCAACCCCTTGAACCAGTGATAGTGGCCTTATCTGGGAAAAGGGTCTTTGCAGAGGTAATTAAGTTATGGATCTCAAGATGACATGATCCTGGATTAAGGTGGACCCTTAATCCAATGACAGATGTCTTTGTAAGAAAAGGAGAGGACACAGAGACACACAGAGTTGGGCATGGGAAGATGGGGGCAGAGATGGAGTCAAGGAGCGCCAAGGATGGCCGGGCAGCCACCAGAAGTTAGAGGGGCAGGACGGGCTGCATGCGCCCTCAGTGCCTCCAGAAGGAACCAGCCATGTGGACACCATGACGTCTGACTTCCGACCTCCAGAACTGGGGGAGAATAAATTTCCATCGTTCTAGCCACGTAGGTTGTGGTACTTTGTTTTAGCAGCCACGGGACACTCATACCAATGGGAAAGGTGGATTTGCCACTGATTGAGATGGAGAGTCTAGAAGGAGGTTTGTGTAAAAGCGGGTGGAGGGTGGGAACCCTAATAAATCCTGTACAGGGAAGCCGTGAGCATCAAATGGAGTGACGTACGTCAAGTGCCCAGCATGCCTGACCCCTGCTGTCACACTTGGAACCTTCTCCCCTGACCTCCTCCCTCCTCCGCTGTCTGAAACAGCCCCTGACTTCCACTGTGCCCCGTCATCCCGTCTGATTTCCTTCCCAGCGCTTAATACTCTCTGGAATAATCTTATTCTTTGCTTGCTTTTTGTCATCTATTTCCCTAACACCAAGGCTCATACTTGCCCTAAACTGAAATTTGCACGAGGTTGGGGGCTTTCTCTGTTTTTATGTCATTTTATCTTTCATTTCTTTGTTTTGCTCTTTATGCGTTATTTTCTTTTATGACTCCCCAGGGGTCAGAGCAGTTCCTGGTCCACAGCTGGCCACTGGGAAGCAGTCCTTGAAGGCAGTTAGCTGGTGTTTGGTGACTGCATTCCCTTCTGCATCTTAGACTGATGGGTGGGAACTGTTACTGTGGTGAAGACCCTCCCGGGCCACATATTAAAATGCATAACATTGAGGTTCTGATTCACTAGGTCTGGGTTAGGACTTAGAAATCCACATTTTTAGCAAGATCCCCACACGATTCTGATGCGAGTTTGTCAAAGTGTGAACCCCTTTGTTGGGCTAAGCTCTTCGAACACATCCTCACACTGCAAAGGGCAGAGAGGCTCTGGAGTTGAACAGAGGTGGAACTCTGTCACTTACAAGCTGGTGATGACCTTGAACATGCCACTTTACCTTTGGGGGCTTAAAAAACAGCCTTTCTTTATTCACTAATCTCATAAATCTGCAAGCTAGGCAGGGCTCGGCGGGGACAGCTTGTCTTTGCTTTACATGGTGTCAGCTAGGGTGGTTGCAGGAAAGCTGGCATCAGAAATCCCTGAAGTCTCACTGACTCACAGTTGGTGCTGATACTGATGCAGATGGTGATGCTGATGCTGATGAAGATGGTGATGCTGATGCTGATGCAGATGCTGATGGTGATGCAGATGGTGATGCTGATGCTGATGAAGATGCTGATGCAGATGGTGATGCTGATGCAGATGGTGATGCTGATGCAGATGGTGATGCTGATGAAGATGCTGATGCTGATGAAGATGCTGATGCTGATGAAGATGCTGATGCTGATGCAGATGGTGTTGCTGATGAAGATGCTGATGCTGATGAAGATGCTGATGCTGATGCTGATGAAGATGCTGATGCTGATGAAGATGCTGATGCTGATGAAGATGCTGATGCAGATGCTGATGCTGATGAAGATGCTGATGCTGATGAAGATGCTGATGCTGATGAAGATGCTGATGCTGATGCAGATGCTGATGCTGATGAAGATGCTGATGCTGATGCAGATGCTGATGCTGATGAAGATGCTGATGCTGATGAAGATGGTGATGCAGATGGTGATGCTGATGCTGATGAAGATGCTGATGCTGATGAAGATGCTGATGCAGATGCTGATGCTGTTGCTGATGAAGATGCTGATGCTGATGAAGATGCTGATGCAGATGCTGATGCTGTTGCTGATGAAGATGCTGATGCTGATGAAGATGCTGATGCTGATGCAGATGGTGATGCTGATGCTGATGCTGAAGGTGGCTGTGGGTTCAAACAGCTGGGGCTCCCCAGGCAGCTCTCTCTATCTCTGGGTGATCTCCCTTCATGGTATGTCAAGTGTGGTGGCTTTAGGGTGGCTGAGTTTCTTACATGGCAGCTCAGGGCTTCAAAGGTACATGTCCCAAAAGCAAACTACAGAAGCTGCGTGGCCTCAGAAGTCACTCTGTGTCACTTCTGCCACATTCTGTGGTTAGAGGCAGTCAAAAATCCATATAATTTTCACATCATGAACTATTATTCTTTTTTAACTTTTTTTCCCACCACTTAAAAATGTGAAAACCATTCTCAGCTCCTGTGTGGTACAAAAACAAGCAATGGGCCAGATATGGCCCTTGGGCAGTAGTTTGCAGACACCTGAACTAGATAACCAGCCTCGGGGCCCAGGCCCTGGTTTGTTATGGAATTTGGGATGCAGTGAGAGAGAGTGAGGGCCAGGAGGCCATCCCGGGGACCATTGCCAAGCTGGAAATTATGGAGCTGTTCCCTTACTCAGCCTGACTACTCTTCACAAAGGCAACAGCCTCTGCCTCTGGGGGTGTGGCCTCTGGGTTCAGGAAGTTGAGAAATGCGGTCATTCCTCTGTGGCCTCATAAGTAAGCTATGGCCTTGGGGGTGGAGGGTGGGGAATACCAGTTGGATTCAGAGGTCAGCTTGTTGGGAGGTTCACGAGCAGGCAAGAGCTGCCCCTTGGGAGATGCACGCCTCTTCTCAGAGCAGTAGATGCCGTCTCCTCACCTCTCCATAGCTGTGTCCTCATCTGCAAAGGGGGGGGGGGGTCGGGGGGAGAATGTCTGCCTTGTAGATATGCTGGAGGATTATTAATTAATATATGTAAAGGGCTTTATTGAGCCCTTGGCATAAAGCGAGCACTCAAAAAATGGTAGCGGTTGCTATCTGGGGTAGGCAAAATAGTGTCGTTAAGAGCGTTGGCCTCACAGCTAATCTTGAGTTGAACCTTGCTAGCTGTGTGACCTTGGCCGAGTTACTTAACCTCTCTGAGTCTTCGTTTCCTATGGAGTTAATAAAACCAGCCTCTCAGGACTAAACCAAATCATGCATGGGCTGTGTTCATGGATTGGAAGGGAGTAAACAATAAGTCACTATCAATGTGATGCTGATATTATTATTGTTAGGCTGAGTAGAGACTGCCTACCTCATTGGGTGGTAGCTACTCACAGTGGATCATGATAGTATTCATTGTTGCCATTTGAAACACTCTTTCCCTCAAGCCCTGAGCTTGATGAGATAGAGACACAAAGGCAGTTAGGGACCAAAACCCCAGCCTTATTCTGGTAAAGCCAGCTAGAGGAAAGGCAGGTCCCTTTCCACTGCAAGTTACTATCGGGAAGTTGGGGGTGCCCCTTTAATTCACCGGAGAAGGCCAAATTAATCATGTGACCACACTAAACGCAGGGGCGGATGGGAAATGTCATTATTCTGGGCAGCCCAGTGCACAGTGAAAATCTTCAGTTACTGTGGAAGCAAAGGGGAACAGATCCTGAGGTTCAATCAATCAGTCTGTTGAACGTAGGAGAAACAACAACAGCAGATTCATGATGGAAGTTGGAAAACGGGCCTCGGATGTGTGGCCATGGTCAGGCTTCTTTCTACTACTGCCCGGACTGAATTTCAGGGGTCCACCCGGACACAGGCAGAACTGGCCACTGCAGGCTTACCCACAAGGGGGAGGGAGGAAGGGGGTGGGGGATGGAGAGTCCCAATAAATACTCAGCTATTTTTCTACCACCAATTGGGTGTCACTCCTATTCCCTTAGGAAGGAGAGTTGTGGAAACGTTTCTTCAGAAAGGGCACAGTTTCCTCTGCATGGGCTGAGGCAGGAGTGAAGAAGGGGCATAGGTCTGCCTGCCTTTGTCTTTAGACCCTTGTATACCCTGACCTATCCCTCCCCTCAAAACCCCCAACCAATCTTCCTCTGGGTGAGTAGTAGTGGAAGAAATTTCTGGAAAGACAGATCAGGGCCAGGCTTAAAGTTCCCTCCATTTCTGGATGAGTTTAGAGCCCGGTTCCCTTTGCAGTGTGGTGCTGTGGGAGTGTTGAAAGCCAGGGAGACACAACATGGGACAGATGCTGCTGGAGAAGGACACGTGAGCGGAGGTGCACGTGGGGCCACCGGCCTGTCTGCCTGCCAGACCAGAGAGGTAAAGGTTTCCAGCTCCAGGTGATGGGGTGGGGTTAGAAAGGAGGCTGGCAGATTGCTCAGCCCCTCCTAATTCATACCACATGCTGCTGATGACTGTGGCTTCATTTCCGGAAAAACCTCCCCTAGGGGCTGGGAGAAAATCTCCGTGAAATCTGGCACCCCAGGCTCGCGGCTGGTGGATGGGGGAGGGGAGGTGAGGCCAAGTGAAAAGAATCTGGGCAGCTGCCAGCAAGCAACTGGGGCCACTGGAGGGCATTTGGGAGACGTGAGCGAGTTCGGGCTCAGGGTCCACGCATCTGTGTGGCCTCGGAAGCACTGCGTGTGCCAAGTCATGGACCCCGAAAGGTGGACACGTGGCCCTGGGGGCACCAGGGACAGTCAGGTGTTGCATTAATGGACATGTTTAAGAACATGGTTATGCACTTTCATGTTTGCCTTCTTTCTCTGACAAATGGCACTAATTTATTATCAGTAGTAATGATTTCAAGCTTCCTTTAAAGTACATTTATTAAGCGAGAAAATGAGTCAACTTAAATACACACATATTTATCTATCTGTCTGTCTATCTATCTATCTGTGTAATAGTGGAGCTGGTACTCAGATGTGGCCCAGATCCCAAGGACCGGCTGGGATGGCTTGAATTTGGCCAGCACCAGTGCGGGTGGCGCTGAGTCTCCAACACAGATCTCTGGGTACTTTGGGGAGTGCCCAAATATTTTAAGCGGATTTATAATAAAAGAGGGAAACTGAAGCACTGGTCGAAGTGGTTTTGCCAGGGCCCGTCGTTAAACAGTCTCCCCACCAGGAGGTGCCAGAAAAAGGCCATCAGCAGAGGCCCCTACTGCCTTGGGAAGGGGCAACCTCTGTCTTCGGGGCCTGGCTGTCTGTCTCGCATCCCAGAGGCTTTGGACGCACCCCCAATTCCTCCCCTCTACTGCCCCGTGTAGAACATTTCCGTCCCATTCTTGAGTACCTTAGCAATTTGGGCTGGCGTGTTGCTCCTCCCTGGAGAGGCGTACTTGTGGTTTAATCTCCAAGTACAGGACAAAATACTTGGGTTTTGGTTGAAAAGTTCACAGCAGCATCCAGTGGGTGTAAGAGGGGGTTTGTGTTTGGGATGTTTTTAACCCTCTATAATCATCCCAGAGCCTCACAGGCCAGTCCAGCAATGCAGTGCCCTTCCCCAGCTCCCCAGTACGACCACATAGTACAGGACACCTCGAATCTGATTCCCTGCTCGGCCACTGATGGGCTGTGTGACCTTGAGTGAGTGACTGTGCATCTCTGAGCCTCCGTTTCCTTGGGATAAAAGAACAGCAAGAAAGCCAGCCTTCCAAGTGCGTTGTGAGGCTGCAGTGACCCACACGGAGCCCCTCCACTGACATCAGCCTTCCATGCGGCCCGTCACCTCAACAGGTACCCTCCTACTCACCTTGGAGGATGAGGCCAGACTCTGATCTCCCCACCCACCCTGGAAGATGACGGAGGTTGGTACCACAGGAGAACAGCTCAGGCCCATTACTGCGACCACCCATCTAGGTAAGGAAAAGCGGGCAGGGTTCAAGGGATGTATGCATATGGATGTACATCGTAGTAATATTTGTAATGATAAAAATGTAGAAGCAATTTAGATATCACTTCTTATAAGATTTACTAAATAAATCACAGCACTGCCATAAAGGGAACACACTTGCTGTTTACTGTACGTGTGTCTTTACTGAAAACGGTGGTTGACCACTCAGCTTTTACACCCCCCCTTCCTCTTTCTTCTTGCCAACCCCACTTTGTTTAGGTGTTGATCCCTTTCTGATGCAGCCGTGAGACTCCGGGGAAGCTGACCCCACCCCTAGATCCAGCAGAAAGCTCTACTTAATTGAACCCAGGGGTCGGCAAACATATTCAGTAAATGACCAGATAGTAAATATTTAAGGCTTCGCAGGCCACACAGTGTCACAACTAATCAACTCTGATGTTGTGACAGGAAAGCAGCTGCAGATGACGCATAAATAAGCTTGGCCGTGTTCCAATAAAACTTTACTCACAAAGCCAGCGGGCCAAATGTGGCCCACCCAGCCTAAGCCAATGGTAAACATCTAACCCCCATCGTGATTGGTTCAGAAACTCACTCTGACCCCCGTCAGTACCAAGCGTAGCCCTGGTGGGAGTTACCGGTCTGACCTTTCATGAGGAATGACCGGGAGGCCCTTTGTGGTCAGAGCAGGGCTCTCAGAGGAGGTGACAGTGGATCTGGGACCTGAAGGTGAAGAGGCAGTCACATAGGAGCTGTGGACGGGATCCTAGGTGCAGGCAACAGCAGGTGCAAAAGCAAGAAGGCTTTGTTCTCAGAAAGAGGCCCAGTGCCTGGGGCAGAGTGAGGGAGGGACAGAGCGGGGTGGGGGGGGGGGCAGAAGACGGGCTAGTGCTGGGCCGGCTAGCCTGCAGGGAGCGTGTGCCGTGGTCTAGGCAGAAGGGAAGCCATTAGAGAATTCATCGGAGAGTTTCTGTAAGTTATCTGATGTCACAGGCCTCGAGAAACATCCAGAAAGTTACATGACCAGCGTTAATGGTCGTTATCTCTAGGAGATAATTGTCCGTTCACATTTTGCTTGACTGTGCTGCTTAATTTGTCCACAATATACGTATGTTGAGAGTCAGAAAAATAAACGTGTCCTCAGCTTCATGGCTATGCAGCTTGTGCTCTTGCACAAGGCCTCGTGCTCAGATAGGCCCTGCACTTGGCACGTTCGTCATCTTAAAATTCCTAATAAAGTTATCCTTGAATTTGTATTTTTTACGTGAAGTCCGATGGGACAAGAAGCGTGCGTGTACGGGCCCAGAGGAGATGCGCGCCGCGTGCACAGCACCGTTCCATTCCATACGTGTTCGCTGTTCCCCGTGACATCAGAATCCCCGGGTACCCACCACACGCGGCAGGTCAGTGAGACTCAAAGCAAGTCCAAGGCAAGTGTGTTACCTACATAACTGAGCCGTACTGGGGGCGCCGTCAGCTTTCAGCCAGAACCAGAACTTGCTTTCAATGCAGAAAGAAGGCAAAGGCAGAAAGAAACACGAACAACCAAGCAACCCCTCCTTACGCGTGTTACTTCCTTGTATTAGTCAACCATTTACACTGAAAATGATGACTTGGAAGGAAAGGGGAAGACAGTATGAAACCTACGGTTCCTTCGCCTGTCAGTCCTTCTGTACTCACCAGTAAGCGGAAGGTGGAGAGTGTCTGTAGAATGTACCAAGAAGTGAAAGGCCCTCGCCCCTCAGTGTCGGGGGTGGACTGTTTCCAGGACCACTGATGGGTTTTGGATAGGTCCATCCAAAACGTGACTGTGACTGATGCATCCGTTCTATCAGCCATTCTGTCCTTGGTTCTGCATCTGTGGATTCAACCAACTGGGGATCGGGTGGGACTTTTGTTTTAGGTTTTTTTTTTTTAATGAAAAAAAGCCCTCCAATAAGTGGACCTGCACAATTCAAGCCCATGTTGTTCAGGGTCAACTGGAAAACAGTTGAGTTCATTTTGTGCGGCGTTTCCACTCCTCTGGTACACATGCATATATGAGCTAGGAAATAGAAGTTGTGTAATTTTGCTGATTCTGCTTACAGGTTAAATGCTCTTCTATTTGTATTTAGTATCGGGATTGTGCCATATAAAAAATAATGGCAAAAATGCATGCCATTCATGAATTTAATATCCTATGAGTTTAATATAATTGAATATAATAGTGTAAAACTAAAATGTTTCCCTGTACTGAGAACATTAAGTGGCGAATAAAAAACACCGTAATAAGTCAAGAGAGAGAGACCGCAGAAGAAAGGGAAAAACCTTTATATTTTAGTACCTTTAGTACCTGTAGCAGCGCTGTTTTTCCTGCTGTTCGAACCAGGGCCCTGCGTTTTCACTTTGCACTGGGTCCCACAGGTTGTTTAGTGAGTCCCGTGTACTCTGGAGAAAGAAACAAGAGGAGAAATATTCAAGGGTGCAGAACAGGGCGTGGCCAGTGAGGAGCTGGCTCTGAGCCCAGGCCTGGCCTCCCCCCACCAACATTTGCAGAGAGGAAGGAGCTGGGAGATTGTTTGCACTCAGTCCACTTCATCAAGTGGCCCGGCAGGCATCAGCAGTAACTTAGACTTTATCACAATATTTTCTTTGCCTCCCCAGACTTCACCTTCACCCTGAAGGTGAAGTTTGGGGAGGGGGAGCGGCTGCTCTGAGCTCACTCCCCGGGGTCCTCCTGGAGACGTGCAAGCACAAAGAAAGCTCATTCTTCTGCTCTTAAAAACAATCAGGCCCTTTCCCTCCGTTATTTATTTTTTCATTTTAAGTCCAATTTAGAAAGAGCTGGGGGCCGTGACTCAGTCCTTCCTCGCGCCCCTTGGCGAGGCTGCAGACGGGAGCATGGGGCCCAGCTAATCTCCGGGAGCAATATTTATGACCCTCTGAGAGGTGGAAGGCAGACACTGCGCTGTCAGAGCAGCCAGGAGCTGTGGCCCTGGGGGGCCCAGCACCCTCCCATAGGGACAGCCTCACCATTGCCAGCTCAGCTTCCCCACTAGGCTCCTTGGCTTCTGGGGCTAGCAGGGCTGGGGAGCCAGGGCAACAGGTGGCCAGGTGGCCTTTCCAGGACCTGAGGGAGGGGTGGTGCCAACCGTACCCTCAAGCACCTTCCATGGAGCCCCTCCCGCCCCCCCAGGACCAGATGGGAGCAGGCATACTCTGGAAGGAAGCCTTGTGCCTGGGGGGCCCTCAAGGATCAGGAGGAAAGGAATTGAGAGCAGGAACGCTGTCTGCTCCAGACGGCGGGATGATGTCACCCTCTAGGGGGTGGGGCTGTGACATTTACTCACTGGGCCATTCTGAAGCTTTCTCCAGCGTGGCCATCCAGCACACAGACAGAGTAGGGGAAGGAGCTTGGCTTTGCCTTCCCTAGGGGCAAGTTTGAACGCCGGCCCCCAGTCTCTGGAGCACCTCCTTCGTATGGCTGATACAAGGAGGGCACATAGAGGTACTCCATGCATGTTAGTTTTACTTATAATCAAGGTGCCCCAGAACCTAAAACGTCCCGATTTTTAAATGTCAGTGTGTCAGAGACTGCTGTTTGTCCCCCAAATTTATTTTCTCCTTCTTCCTGGATAATGGCATTTCTGGATTTTAGCTGGGCTCGCTAAAATCCAGCAGATGGATAACGGCCATCCCGAATAAGCTACACCTTCAGCAGCTATATGGTCTAGAAATACAATGTTATTGTTACAAAGGGGAAAGAAAAGGGATAAGCTGGTTGTGCTAATAGATTAAAAATTCTTTTTAAAAAAATTTATTTTATTGAAGTATAGTTGATTTGCAATGTTGTGTTAGTTTCTGCTGTATAGCAAAGTGATTCAGTTGCACATATATATTCTTTTTCATTACGGTTTATTACAGAATATTGAATATAGTTCCCTGTGCTATACAGTAGGACCTTGTTGTTTATCCATTCTGTATGTAATGGTTTGCATCTGCTAAGCCCAGCCTCCCACTCCATCCCCCCTGCACCACCACCCCTGCCTCGGCAACCACAAGTCTGTTCTCTGTCTGTGAGTCTGTTTCTGTTTCGTAGGTAAGTTCATTTGTGTCATATTTTAGATTCCACATACAAGTGATATCATATGGTATTTATCTTTCTCTTTCTGACTTACTTCACTTAGTATGATAATCTCTAGGTCCATCCATGTTGCTGCAAATGGCATTATTTCAGTCTTTTTAATGGCTGAGTAGTCTTCCATTGTGTATATGTACCACATCTTTAGCCATTCATCTGTTGATGGACGTTAAGGTTGCTTCCATGTCCTGGCTATGGTAAATAGTGCTGCAGTGAACATTGGGGTGCATATATCTTTTTGAATTAAAGTTTTTGTCTCTTCCAGATATATGCCCAGGAGAAGGATTGCAGGATCATATGGTAACTCTATTTTTAGTTGTTTTTTTTGCGGTACGCGGGCCTCTCACTGTTGTGGCCTCTCCCGTTGCAGAGCACAGGCTCCGGACGCACAGGCTCAGCGGCCATGGCTCACGGGCCCAGCCACTCCGCGGCATGTGGGATCTTCCCGGACCGGGGCACGAACCCGTGTCCCCTGCATCGGCAGGCAGACTCTCAACCACTGCGCCACCAGGGAAGCCCTATTTTTAGTTTTTTAAGGAACCTCCATACTGTTCTCCATAGTGGCTGCACCAATTTACATTCCCACCATCAGTGTAGGAGGGTTCCTTTTTCTCCACACCCTCTCCAGCATTTATTATTTGTAGACTTTTTAATGATGGCTGTTCTGACCAGAGTCAGAAGAGTCAAAACTACTATCTCATTGTAGTTTTGATTTGCATTTCTCTAATAATTAGCAATGTTGAGCATTTTTTCATGTGCCTGTTTTCCATCCGTATGTCTTCTAGGAGAAATGTCTATTTAGGTCTTCTGCCCATTTTTTGATTGGGTAGTTTGTTTTTTGATATTGAGTTGTATAAACTGTTCGTATGTTTTAAAAATTAATGCCTT